CACAAAGGGGAAAAGAGGATGGAGAGCTGGAAAGGACTGTGGAATTCTCATTACATGCTCCCTCCCCCCACCTCTACTAATTTCCGGGAACAGGGCTCCTGTAGCCAACTCACCTGTCCTCCAATCTCCTGCGGTGCTGTGAGAACCCATTCTCTCCCTGTGGCTTTGCCCAAATCCCTCTCCTAAGACTCTGAAGACCAAGGAGGTGTTTTCAAATTAAAATCAGAGTGGTCTGTGTGCCCTGCCCAAGGGGAACGGAGGGAAGGCCACCACCACACAGATCTCCATGGGAGCGCCTTGCACGGAATTCTAGTCATTCTGGAAGCGGAATGCAGAGGACTTTGACCACATCCAGGTGCCCCCCCCACCAGGGGTAAAATACAGAGTGGAAAGACACAGAAGACAACTGCGGTGTCCATGTCGGCAAGCAGTTGTAGTCTGGGCTTTTGGCCTAGAGGCGACAAGAGCCTCATTTTTTTATTTGACAGTTAAGTAGGCGTGTACCTAAAACAATTGTGAAGAGAGAGGCACAAGATACACATCTAGAAACATAAGATCCCCTTAAGCTCTATCCTTAATTCCCTGATTTGCCATTTGTTTCTGTAAAAAAAAAATGGGGAGAAATCCCTCAAGTTCTGTTAAAAATACAGAAGCACTAACTCAGTGACAGAATTACTTAAAAAAAAAATCAAACGACTGATGGTGGAACCCCAGCTCCAAGCTGATCCAATTGGCCTGGGGTGAGGGAGGCCTGGTCTTCCACTTACTTGAGAGCAACTGTGTGGCCACCTGGATTCTTAGTGTATCTGGGCAGAGGAGGACCAGCTGCCATGAAGCTAGGGCCCTTGGTCTCCCCATGCCAGTGGCACCCACCAGCTCAGCTAATCCCAGCTTTTCTGGCCCCACTTAAAGAGACATGCCACAGGCTCACATATTCTTCCATCACGTGCCACAGGCCTGAGACAGTTCCTGCCTGTTGGTCACAAAACAAACCAAACAAGCAAAACCCCCACAATGTATTCCACGCAAGACATCAACTATTAGGAAAGGGACTTTTAGGGTTGTGTTAAAAAGATACTGCTTACACAGGATGCAGACTTCTCCCCCACCCCAGTAAAAGGCCTGGGTGACAGACAGGTCAGGGGAACCCCCAGAGAAGCCCACCTCTGTGTCCAGGCTCAGGAAGAGACACCCAGGGAGGCATTGGTCCAAGGCTCAAAGCCTTCTCCTCACACACCCTCCCCTCCCCAACCCAGCCTCCCTACCTTCCCACCCCTCTGGCCACTGCACGCGCCTCTCTTTGGGGCTGTGGTTTGTGTCAGGCTGGCTCCGGGTTGCCCACCCTCCCTCCTCGGGCCAGGGCTGAGCTTTCGTGGGGAGCGACCTCTGGAGGAAGAAGGAGGGGGAAGAACCCAGCCACAGCAGCCTGGGGAGGCTGAGCCGCCTTTTGGTAAAGTGCACAGACCTGAGTCCTTCCCCTGCCCGGCCTCGCAAGGCGCAGGAAGACTCACACACAGGGGAAGGCAGCCGGAACCGCCGGCCACTGTCCTCCCCAGCCCGCGCTCAAGTCCGGCGTCCCAGAGTGAATCGCGACTCGCATACCCTGCGGGGCCCAGCAGGCTAGCGACGCAAACAGACCCGCGCCCGCGATTCTGGAGCGCGGACTGGAGCGGACAAGAGCCAACGTCAAGAGCGGTCCGCAGAACTGTTTTTAGATAGTGGACCCACCCCACCCCCACAACCCCCATGACAACTGGGGGTCGTGGCGCCCCAATAAAGCTCATGGGCCCAGCCTCTGGGACCTGCGGGACCTTCCGGGCGCCCACGATAATCTGAAACCACCCATCACCCGGGGTTCCCAGGGTAAGCTTCCGCGGGCTAGTCTCATCCTTCCGTCTTGCAGTTGGAAAAACTGAGGCTCCAGGAGGAGAAACCACAACCCGCCCCCTAGAGGCCGTATTGGTTCTGGGGTCTCTAGGTCTCTAATTCCCTTTCTCCCCGGACCATCCACACGCACCTGCCCACCTCCAAGCAGGGCCCGTGCCCGGCTCGCACGGAACCTGCGGAGCGCGACCCCAGCTCCTCCTCGCGCCGAGGGCAGATGCCCCAGCAAGCTCGCCCGTGGAGGAGGTGTGATGTGCACTGTCGCGCCCGGCGAGCGAGCAGAATTTAGGAGGATGCGATTAACCACTCCGAATCCCCCACGTTCCGTCTGCTGGCCGTTAAGCCCCCGTTATTTCATTAATTTTGCAATGAAGAGTCGGTGCATGTTACGGGCATTTTGGGGACCCCACATACAGCATTTTGGTGGGCGTTTACGGGACCTACATCGCGCGGTTGCAGTGAAATTTAAGGGATAAACTCCATAGCGCCGGGCACGGTGTCGGACACAGTGGTTCAGCGCAGCCAATGGCCTCTTCTCGCTGCTGTTC